AAAAGAAAAACTTTCACCATCATTCACTCCATCACTGTCTTGCCAGAAGGGTGCTTTACACTACAGTTTTTAAACTGCAACATTAACACCCCTCCTTCAGAAGTATTAAAACAAAAAAATTTTTTACATGAAATATACATGTAGTACATAAACAATACAATGGGAAATGATGGATGAAACATTAACAGTGTAACACTTACCTTTATTGGAGATTCTTCTTAGTGTATGGGAGACTGGAGGAGGAGAGAGATTGGATTGTTTACAGTTTGGAAGGGGAATCCCCTTCCAGCAACACCTCAGGTACCAATTGCTTCTCTGGGGTTGCTTCTCTTCTCTGTTTCTTAATGCCACTAGGACCACCTTGAGAGTCACTCTAGTCCTGTCTTGCAAAGTAACTGTGGAGAGAGCTCTGTTTCTGGCGTCTCTTTAAACACTTCCCTAAAATGGCCCAAGACTTTGTCACTGTACATATTTCTCACCTTTACCACAGGCTTGGCACTAGGAGCTTTCTTTGGAGCCATGGTAGCTTATTTAGTACTTGCAAGCACTAAAAATGAGTGGAATATTATGAAATATTTCGTAGGAGCACTTGAGGGGACCTTCACTCACTGGTAAACAATGCCAGACTGGCTGGGTAGGGAGGCCGCCCCGGCTCACACCGTGCATACGCATCCCGGACGAACTACTATTCGCGAGTCAACCTATGAATAGAGTGTCCACGTTTATACGAAAATACCCCTATGATTGGCGAAATTTACGATTGCCGAGAGCTACGAAAAAGCGAGGGACCACTGTACTTTCTGAAGCCTACCCATCAACCTTTTTTCCACCAATACATAATCTAAAACTACTTGCATTATGTGCTTCATGCTATATCACATCTTGTATACTTATTTATCCTCTTTTTCATAAAATATGCACAGTGGACCCTTGTTTTACGTAAGCATCGGAAGTCGTAATTTTAAAAAATCGTAATTTTTTTCATCAAAATATCGACTTGCGAATCGTAGTTTGACTCGCAAATAGTTGTTTGCCCCAGACGCGTACGCATGGCCCCAAGCAGCCCCGCTCCATTCACAGCCAGTGTGCCATAGTTTATCAGCGAGTGAGGACAATCCCACGCCTTCATACGATACATTTTGTAATGTTCCATTTGTTTTAGTGCTTGCAATTGCTAAATAATCCACCATGGCCTCAAAGAAAGCTCCTAGTGCCAGCCCTTTGCTAAAGGTGAGAAACGCAATACAATTCAAGAAAGAACTCATAGCAAAGTACCAAAGTGGTGATTCTATGATATGTACGATACTAAAGGACCACGAGTCTATAAAGGCTATAGCGCCAGCCAGTGATAAAGTGTAACATTAACAGTGTAGCAAGTAAGTTAAGCAATTAATCGATAGAAAAAGGACAGCACAAACCTAACTCCTCTAATGTTGTTGGAGTAATATAGGGCTACTGACAACACAGCCGCCTCTGCCACCATTATGTACGGCTTATGCTCTTAGTGGCCCTTATACACCCAACAAAACACAACACCACTTATGACATATATAATGCAATTTTTTATTCATTCTAGAGTATATGTCATGTTTCTATGTTATTAATATTTTTTATTATATTAGATGAATTGACTTCAAGAGTGTATCAGTCTGTAGTGGAAGGAAGGCGGGGTAGGGGTCGGCCTAGGAAAGGTTGGAGGGAGGGGGTAAAGGAGGTTTTGTGTGCGAGGAGCTTGGACTTCCAGCAGGCATGCGTGAGCGTGTTTGATAGGAGTGAATGGAGACAAGTTTTTAATACTTGACGTGCTGTTGGAGTGTGAGCAAAGTAACATTTATGAAGGGGTTCAGGGAAACCGGCAGGCCGGACTTGAGTCCTGGAGATGGGAAGTACAGTGCCTGCACTCTGAAGGAGGGGTGTTAATGTTGCAGTTTAAAAACTGTAGTGTAAAGCACCCTTCTGGCAAGACAGTGATGGAGTGAATGATGATGAAAGTTTTTCTTTTTTGGGCCACCCTGCCTTGGTGGGAATCGGCCAGTGTGATAATAATAATAAAATAATAGATGAATTGTGATAGATAAATAAGCCACAGAGTTGATATTAGTGTCATATTGAATGACTATCTTGTCCTGCCTCCAAACACTCCCCTGCCACCTTCACAATTCCTAACATATGTAATGACATATTTTATACATGCACCAACAAGAGTCTTCAGTAAAGGTAAGTGTGATGTTACTATTTTATTCTTCATGTCTCATTGTTTTCTGTGTATGTAAATCTATATTTCATGTAAAAAAAAAAAAATTTTTTGTTAATACTTTTGATCTGAAACGAATTAATTGGATTTACATTATTTCTTATGAGGAAAATGGTTTCGCAAATCGTCAATTTCGCCATTAGTCACGCTCTAGAACAGATTAATTACGAAAAACAAGGGTCCACTGTATTACTTATTACCAAACTTCTTGTTACATATAGTTCAATTAAAGGCTCCCCATTTTTATTTACCCCTGGCACACCAAAATTATCGACTACTCCCTCTACAACACTTTTACCCACTTTAGTATTGACATCCCCAACCACAAGTACTCTCTCACTTGGTTCAAAACTCCCTCTCCTCTACACTTCTCTCTTCTCCAGGTGCATATGCACTTACTATAACCCACTTTTCACATCCAACCCTTGTTTTACTTCACATACATTTCACACATACATTTGCAAATATTGCAAATATTTGCAAATATTTGCAAATTAGAGGTAAGACAGTAGGATTGCAGAGGAGCAAGAAGCCTTTAAAGTGGGTAGGAAATGTGAATATCAAGTGTTTAAATTGAAGCATATATGTGAACAGTATTTATATAGAGGTAGGGAAGTTTTCATTGCATTTATGGATTTAGAAAAGGTATATGATAGAGTGGATAGAGGAGCAATGTGGCAGATGTTGCAAGTGTATGGAATAGGTAGTAAGTTACTAAAGGCTGTAAAGAGTTTTTATGAGGATAGTGAGGCTCAGGTTAGGGTATGTAGGAGAGAGGGAGATTACTTCCAGGTAAAAGTAGGGCTTAGACAGGGATGTGTAATGTCACCATGGTTGTTTAATATATTTATAGATGGGGTTGTAAAAGAAATAAATTCTGGGTGCTGGGAAGAGGGGTGGGATTGAATTATGGGGAATCAAGTATAAAATGGGAGATGACAGTTACTTTTTGCTGATGATACTGTGCTTATGGGAGTTTCTAAAGAAAAGTTGCAAAGGTTAGTGGACAAGGTTGGGAGGATGTGTAAAGATAGAAAGTTGAAAGTGAACATAGATAAGAGTAAGGTGATGAGGGTATCAAATGATTTAGATAAAGAAAAATTGGATATCACATTGGAGAGAGGGAGTATGGAAGAAGTGAATGTTTTCACATATTTTTTAGTTGACTTGTCAGCAGATGGGTTTATGAAGGATGAGGTTAACCATAGAATTGATGAAGGAAAAAAGGTGAGTGGTACATTGAGGTATGTGTGGAGACAAAAAATGTTGTCTATGAATGCAAAGAAGGGAATGTATGAAAGTACAGTGGTACCAACACTCTTTATATGGGTGACTCACGAAATCGTAATGACACGATTGCAAACAAACCATACCCCGGCCGGGATTGAACCCGCGGTCAAAGAGTCTCAAAACTCCAGCCCGTCGCGTTAGCCACTAGACCAACTAGCCACAATAATATTCGTTTGTTTGCAATCGTGTCATTACGATTTCGTGAGTCATGTTGACGGCAGTGAAGGGACTTGAGCTAGAGTTCGTCACGGCCACGCTAGCTGGAGATTCGTCTGTAAAAACTTGCATTTGTGGTCACAGTGGTGCCTGTGCTAACCTTCCTATGGTGTAGAAATATACCTAGTTGGACGAATCTTATTGTGGCTAGCTGGTCTAGTGGCTAACGCGACGGGCTGGAGTTTTGAGACTCTCTGACCGCGGGTTCAATCCCGGCCGGGGTATGGTTTATATGGGTGTGAAGCTTGGGTCCTAAATGCTGCACCGAGGAGACGGCTGGAGGCAGTGGAGATGTCCTGTGTAAGGGCAATGTGTGGTGTAAATATTATGCAGAGAATTTGGAGTGTGGAAATTAGGAGGTATGGAGTTACTAACAGTATTAGATGGCTGAAGTGGGGTTGTTGAGGTGGTTTGGTCATTTAGAGAGAATGTATCAAAGTAGAATGACTTGGAGAGCATATAAATCTGTAGTGGAAGGAAGGGGAGGGGGAGGTTGTCCTCAAAAAGGCTGGAGGGAGGCGGTAAAGGAGGTTTTGTGGGCAAGGGGCTTGGACTTCCAGCAAGCATGTGTGAACATGTTAGATAGGAGTGAATGGAGACGAATAGTTTTTGGGACCTAACGAGCTGTTGGAGTGTGAGCAGGGTAATATTTAATGAAGGGATTTAGGGAAACTGGTTATTTTGATATAACCGGACTCGAGTCCTGGAAATGGGAAGTACAATGCCTGCACTTTAAAGGAGGGGTCTGGGATATTCTCAGTTTGGAGGGACTTCTAAACTGTCATATCTGAGCACCTCTGCAAAGATAGTGATTATGTATGAGTGAGGTGAAAGTGCTGAATGATGAAAGTATTTTCTTTTTGGGGATTTTCTTTCTTTTTGGGTCACCCTGCCTTGGTGGGAGACGGCCGACTTGTTGGAAAAAAAAAAAAAATCAAATATTGATAGAACATGTCACTGAATATTTTCATACCATACATCAGTTCATTAAAAAAAAAAAATATTGTAAAAGTTTCTCCTAGTCAATCAACATTTGTTGACCAAACTGTACCAAGAGAATAGGTACCCTCCAACACACATCAAAAAAGCACACTATAAATAATATTTGATAGGTGCCACTAAATGTACCTATGTTGTTCATCAGAGTCCAATTATTTGACTATTTTATAGTTTTCTAATCCAGTCTATACTACTGTTAAAATACTTCATTGATTGTAGTATATATAAAGAAATCACTCACTACGATACTGGGTTTCACATCTGGAGCACAAAGCAATTCCCAAATATCCTGAGTGTCATCCGGGGTTGGTGGCATCTGTAAGAAGTGCTCTGGAGAACAAGGTTCATCTTTCACCTGCAAATGTAAACAAACCTTAGAAAAACATAACTATCTCAATATCCATACAAGACGGTGCAGCCATAATTATTAGTCAATATATTGTAATTACCACACATTAAGACTTGCACATAGTCTTGTCTCAGTCTGAAAAAGTAAACCACACAGTAGGAAGTCACCCCCTCTCCCCCCCCCCCAAAAAAAAAAATGGCTGTCTTGTCAAAAAAAGAAGCAAAGACATCACACCTCGAATGACCATCTGTACTGCAACATTTCCACCTCTTTCAGAGGTGCAGGCACTGTACTACCCACCATCAGAATTAAAATCTGGCAAAATTTTGTTATTTTATTAATTAATAGAGAAGAGAGGAATGTAGAGGAGAGAGAGATTTTGGGAGATGTTAAATGAATGTATAGGAACCTTTGAACCAAGTGAGAGAGTAATTGTGTTAGGGGATCTGAATGCTAAAGTAGGAGAAACTTTTAGAGAGGGTGTGGTAGGTAAGTTTGGGGTGCCAGGTGTAAATGATAATGGGAGCCCTTTGATTGAACTTTGTATAGAAAGGGGTTTAGTTATAGGTAATACATATTTTAAGAAAAAGAGGATAAATAAGTATACAAGATATGATGTAGGGCGAAATGACAGTAGTTTGTTGGATTATGTATTGGTAGATAAAAGACTGTTGAGTAGACTTCAGGATGTACATGTTTATAGAGGGGCCACAGATATATCAGATCACTTTCTAGGTGTAGCTACACTGAGAGTAAAAGGTAGATGGGATACAAGGAAAATAGAAGCATCAGGGAAGAGAGAGGTGAAGGTTTATAAACTAAAAGAGGAGGCAGTTAGGGAAAGATATAAACAGCTTTTGGAGATAGATGGGCTAATGAGAGCATAGGCAATGGGGTCGAAGAGGTATGGGGGAGGGTTTAAAAATGTAGTGTTAGAGTGTTCAGCAGAAGTTTTTTGGTTACAGAAAGTGGGTGCGGGAGGGAAGAGGAGCGATTGGTGGAATGATGATGTAAAGAGCAGTAAGGGAAAAAAAAGTTAGCATACGAGAAGTTTTTACAAAGTAGAAGTGATGCAAGGAGGGAAGAGTATATGGAGAAAGAGAGAGGTTAAGAGAGTGGTGAAGCAATGTAAAAAGAGAGCAAATGAGAGAGTGGGTGAGATGTTATCAACAAATTTTGTTGAAAATAAGAAAAAGTTTTGGAGTGAGATTTTAAAAAGTTAAGGAAGCCTAGAGAACAAATGGATTTGTCAGTTTAAAAATAGAAGAGGAGAGTTTTTAAATGGGGAGTTAGAGGTATTGGGAAGATGGAGGGAATATTTTGAGAATTGTTAAATGTTGATGAAGATAGGGAAGCTGTGATTTCATGTATAGGGCAAGGAGGAATAACATCTTGTAGGAGTGAGGAAGAGCCAGTTGTGAGTGTGGGGGAAGTTCGTGAGGCAGTAGGTAAAATGAAAGGGGGTAAGACAGCCGGGAATGATGGGATAAAGATAGAAATGGTAAAAGCAGGTGGGGATATAGTTTTGGAGTGGTTGGTGCAATTATTTAATAAATGTATGGAAAAGGGTAAGGTACCTAGGTATCTAAGGTACTATGCATGCAGAGAGCATGCATAGTTCCTTTGTATAAAGGCAAAGGGGACAAAAGAGAGTGCAAAAATTATAGGGGGATAAGTCTGTCGAGTATACCTGGTAAAGTGTATGGTGGAGTTATTATTGAAAGAATTAAGAGTAAGACGGAGAATAGGATAGCAGATGAACAATGAGGCTTTAGGAAAGGTAGGGGATGTGTGGACCAGGTGTTTACAGTGAAACATGTAAGTGAACAGTATTTAGATAAGGCTAAAGAGGTCTTTGTGGCATTTATGGATTTGGAAAAGGTGTATGACAAAAAAGGGGGAAT